TGCTCCAGCCTCTGTCTGCAGGATGCTCAGAGCTCCTGTGGACAGGGGCTCCTACGACCCCATGCTGTTGCCTTTGTTTCTGAGACAGCAGTGCAAGGTGGCAGGTAGCCAGTCTAAGCAGAGAATTGGTTTTTAAACTGGCTCCCCTCGTGGACTGTCTCCCACCTGGCACCCTGTGCTGCTACCTCTGATATAGAGACAGAAGCATGGGATGGCAGGGGCACCCCGGGAGTGAGGCCGGAGTGCACTGGCTGCTGGTCCCACCCTGGGGACTATCGAAGAGTTGTGTAATGGATAAGAATTCATGCAGCTACATAACTATTCAATTACCCGATATCCAGCCTTCCTAGTTCTTTGTTTACAATATTTGTTGCCATTTTTGAAGGGTCACCCAGGAAAGGAATGGATAAAGGGGGTTGCACTGTATTTCTCCTGCACTTTTCTTGGATGCCAAAATAGGAGCCCAAGGACTCATTTGCAGTGAGAAGAAAGAAAGGTGCACATTCTCTTTTATGCACTCCACATCGGATTCCTCTTTAGGCTAAGCATCATTCTAACGTGTTAGTTCCAGAACTTCTAATATTGGGTGTGCAAGACACCCTCTGTGGGCTGCATCCAGCCTGCCAAGCCCTCTGATACTGCCCACTGCCACTCTCCAACCCCCAGTCCAATTAAGACCTAGGGATGGGGGAGTGGCAAAGTCCCTTCTCTCCTCCCCCACCAGGGGTGCGTGGCACCAGAAGGAACCAGCAGTTTTTAAAACGGGTGCCTGTTTTCTCTAAGCACCACCTGCCCCTGGCAGGGCAGGGGTGACAAAGATTTCATGCACTCTCCCACCCCCAGGCCAATCCGGGTCTGTGGGTGAGGGAGAAGAGTGAAGTCTCCTGGTCTCATCCCTTCTGTGCAAGGCCCCGCTCCTTCTGGACCACTTCTGAAATTCATGAAGTGCCCCCCCCCACTCCTGTTCCAATGCATCTCTTGTGTCGTGCATCATCGCCGCCTTCCTTGTGCCTGGCATGTCAGCCCCGTGTCCGGACACCACCGCCTCAGACATGTAGGTGCCAATCGCCGCCAATCCGCCCCTCTCCGCACTAGCCACCCGCGGCCTGCGCCCCCACGTAACGCCAGGGCGGAGTCTCCCCTCCCTTCGCGGCAGGGCGCTGCGCGTGGGAGCCAGCTGGGCTCCAGGGAGAAATCGGGGCCCCGGGGTTGCGTGGCGCATTTGCAGGGGCCTGGGCGCGCACCAGGTCGCAGGTCCAGAGGCGGCCGCTGCGCCCCTGGGGCACCACGTCCC